ATAAAGAAATATCTTTAAGTTCTGTTGTCAGCCCCCCTATTTACATTATTTTAAGCCATGAACCAGTTGAACTTATGACCTGCTATGATGTTCATAGCATCAACCACTAAATGTTCAGCTATAGAAAACGATCAGCACCACTGAAATCTCTCTAGAGAACATTCCTTCAGTGTGGGGGGCAGTTCTGGAAAAAGAGGATCTGTCCCACAGTCAACCGAAACAATGTGTTAGTGGCTTCCTACAGGCTGCATGGACCATCATCTCCAATAGTGTACATAGTAAAGCAAGTAGCATCCCTATGCATTGATTAATTACCCTAAATCCTTTGCTCTGTGTGAGATCAAAATAAGCAGGCACCAACCATACCACTAAATGACATTCCTCCATGTTGCTAGACCTAACAAGCTTTTAGTTCAACTCCAACTCTGATAGCAAATTTATTCAAGTGAGAAAGGAGTTAACCTATTTTTGCTGGTGGACACCTTTAAGCTGTATGTTAACACCAAACATAGGGATGAGATATGAGTGATACCTCACCTTGCATAGTAGTTTCCTCTGGGCAGGTAGCAGAGGGTGGAGGGGCATCTTCAGTTTTTTTCTTCTGCGGCCGCTCTTCCTCCCTCGTTTCCTCCTCTTCCTCCTTCTGTGCTGGTGTTGCCGCTTTAGCCACAGGTGTGGATTCCTGAGATTGAGAAGGGTCTGGTTTGTCCTGGGATGTAGTGTCAGTAACTGGGACATCTTCAGAGAGTTCTCCAGACTCCTGAGGGAGGCCATTGAAGAGAGGAGGCTCCATCAGGGTAACTGGTGTCACTTCTGGTTCAGAGCTCTGGACCAGGCTCTGGGTCTCTGGAGCAGCAGGTTCTGGTAAAGTGGGGGGCGGGGGGACTTCGACTGACGGTTCTAAAGGAGTAACCTCCTTCGCAGTCTCCATGGGGGCTGCTGCAACTTCAATGGGAGGCTCCAACTTGGGGGTGGGCGTCCACCCCTCTTTTTCCAGTTTAACTTCTGGTTTGACATCTTCCTGTTCAGCTTCCTTTTCAGATGGAGCAGCCTGTGGCTCCTCTGTCTTTACAGGAATCTCTTGTGCTACCAGTGAAGCCGAGGGTTTGACCGGAGCATCGACTGTGTCACCTGCATTAGTGCTAACTGCATTTGCTGCTTCAGCAATACTACTGGTAGCTGCTGCTGATGGGAGGGCAGGCGGAGACTGACGCTCCTTTATTGACGGGGATGGGGAAAGTCTCTCAGTAGCAGCTGTAGTGGCCACAGACACAGTATCCAGTTCAGCCGGAGGAGGAGTAAGCTGTCTGTTTACTTCCTCTTTGGCCTCAAACACAGGCTCAGTGTTTACTGGAGCAGAAGGTGGAGGGCTTTCAATGGAAGCAGAAGGCTCCACATGTTCATCTGGTGAGTGTAAAAAATGCAGAAAAATAAGCACAGAGCCAACTCATCTGAAAATCCAATCTGGCTATATTTTCTCACCTCTTGTCACTGCAGCAACAGGCTGTACAACTTCACCATTGGTCTGGGCAATACTTGGTTCAGTTACAGATGCCTGAAAACACAAACATAAGTGTTTCTGAAGCACAGAGTAAAAGAAAAAACATCTTTGTCCAACAAAAGGTCTGGATTTTACTGGGAAAATTGATGCTTGCTTATCCCATACAAGCTCTATAGCCTTGCATGAAACTTCAAGTTAGGCCATTCACCAAAAAGTCACTTAAAGGTATTTTTCTTGTCATACACTTAGACACTTGTGGTGAGAAAGGTGAGCTTCAATTACTGGCTGAAACTGTAGCTCACCACACATTTTCTTGTTTTTTGGGGAGGGGGGGTTACAGCATTGGTGGCTTGTTTTTTGGACAGAAGGCTAATAGGAAAGGGGGTATGAGAGGGGGAGAGACATGTGGTAAAGGACCACAGGTCGGATTTAAACCCAGTTAAGCCGCGTCAAAGACCAAGGCCTCCGTACATGGGTCGTGTGCGCTAACCACTGTGCCACCAAAGCACCACATAGATGCGGCTGAAAGTGCGCATGGGCAGAAAGGGTACGAAAAGATATCACCAGAATGACTAATAATAAGGAGGACCGCTTATTTAGATGATCCACCTGGAAATAAAAGATTGTCCTCTATACTTTTAAGTTTAGTTAACTTGCATCTGAATAAGTTGAAAGTTGCGCCTCCTCAAAACCTGTGTGGCAGTGTTCGTGCTGCATGCAAAACCGGTCCCTTATTAGCTTATTCAATGGACTTAGTAGAGCATAAACTGCTGTTAGCACTGAAAGCTGGATTAGACCTACCTGACAAAACCAAGACTCTCGGAAATATGCATTTTTGTTTTCATTTTAACAAGTAGTCGTCAAAAACCTGATTTAATCTGCATCTCATTAATGAAATTTGTTAGAATTTTGGAACAAGAGGAAAGATCCCAACTCAATGGAAACCAAAACCCACATTTTGAACACAAGTCAGTGGAATCAAAATGCTGAGAGAACATATGTTCCTTTATTTGCTTTAAGAGGCAAAATAAAACATTGAAGAAATCCTAAGAAAAATGGGTCAAGAAAAACAAAAGTCTTATTTTCAAACTTAGCATGGTTTAATTATTGGAAAGTTTAATTAAACTTCATAATTGGTATCTTTTGGTTTATTGATAATGCTCATTGATGTTTGTGTTGTTTTCATATGAAAGTAAAGGTTTTGATTTTAAAATATCAACCCAATTTTAGGCAGGTAGCCTAAAACATTTTGTTCAAAGATTTAAAGTTAAAACAGGTTTCATTTCTAATTTGAAATGGAGAGGGCAGCTGCATGTGGGCTTTAAAATGTAAAAGTTTGTGCTCAGGGACATTACTGCTGCTGGCAAAAACAAAATGGTAAACACTGCATGGAAGGAGAAAACTAAAAAATGCAACAGCTTGTTTGAATTTTATTTGATAAAAAATAAAAAAACAACAAAAAAACAAAAGGCATTTTTCATCAAATCTCTCACATAAAGTCATGTTTCCTCTGAGGTATGTTTGACCTACCTCAGATACTTTTATAATGTTATTAGGTTGGAAATCACTACTTTTTTGATGGACATACCATACACTACAAACTTACAACATTGGCATCCTATTGTCGTAATGGTTCCAACAAAACAAAATACCCATCTCAAATTTTCAGTGCAGCTGCTAGGAAAGCTTTAACTAGAATATGTGTTCTTTTACAGTTAAACAAGGGACAAATAAAGAAAAGATGGAGTTGCATTTTAAGACCTAAATTTATTCAGAAAAAAGCTTGTGTGTAAACTTTGATAAAAAAACAGAAGATTCTGTTACATTTAAGGCATTCCCCAATATTTGTTATAAGAAAAAAAAACATCTAATTTTACTTGTAAGCTCTTTAACCACAATAAAAAAAAAAGATAAACCAAAAAACACGCTAATTTTAGGTGAAGAAATCTTAACAGTGAACAGGATACCTCAATAGATTTAGTAGAATCGATTGGCATTGGCAGTAGTTTGAAAGCCAAAATGATTTGCTTTTATTGCTCATTACTGATGCAGAAAGAGACTTTAAACAATATTCCCTTTTAGATCGTAACTGTTTTAGTTTACCAAAAGAGTATTAATGTTATTGTTCAACTGATGCAGATAGTATATTTTATTGTTAATAGGCAATTCTTTATTTAAGAGCTCCCTTTCTAAATCACAGCCTCACCTGTGGAGGAGTCGCTGGTGTAGCAGATCTTCCACCTGACATGATCTCCTTTGTTATATCACGGCCACCTTGGTTGGGGTCTCGTATTGTTATCTGGTAGACAGAGTAAAATAAATAAAATCAAGCTAGGAATTTTACTCCTCAAAATACACTAAGAATTTAAAATACAAAACAGTGTGTAAAATTCTAGTCCATTTTGAACTATTGAGCCCAAACACAACATACGGATCATTTTCAGGTGAAAAGGGAAGGTTCCACATTGACAAAACAAAACACTTTCTCTCCATTCACTAATTTTTCCCTTTTTAAACAGGATAAGCACCAGTCCTTTGTTAGGAGACACTACCTGTTTGCGTTCCCTCTTTAGTGGGCCTTGTGGCTGTGTGGGTGGTTGCTGGGGAGGGGGGGCTTGTTGCTGTGGGTTAATCATCACCGGCGGGGCCTGCACTGATGGAGAGTACTGCGGCTGAGCTGGATAGTATGCTCCTGCTGCTTGGAGAAACAGGAACATTTATAGTTTTTAAGTACAACGTTTCACCAGGTTAGCAGACACATTGTTATATTTATAATTAAAAAAGACAGAGAAAAAAAACAGGAGTCCAGACAAGCAAATATTATTACGCATGCATTACATACTTTTTTTTTCTCACAAAGTCAAAAGATGGTCCAAATACCGCCACCTTGTTCTAGCAATGAAAATCTGCTCTAAACTTTTCCATCACCATTCATTTTTTTTGTGTATTCGTGTATGTAAACCATAGAATTCAGCCCACTGACAGAAAGTTTTTATGACTGTTGCCCAAAGAAAACCTGTAGGATGTGATTAGAGACAGCAAGTGCCACAGCTTATTACCAATGAAGCTAGCTGGCCACAAGCGCGCAAACACACACTACTCACCGGGGTAGCGCTGGGAGGCGAGAGGAGCACCGTGAAGAGAGAGGCGGCCATTCTCTCGCCCGCCCCCTCTCCCCCCACCACCCCGCCTCTCCCTCGCAGCAAGAGAGGGCTCTGAACCAACGCAGCAAGGGAGAGGAAAGAGGGAGTGAGGGGACAGGAGGAGGAGGAGGAGGAGGAGGAAAGGGGAAGAGAGGGCAGGAGACAGATGCTGTATGAGTTATTGAGAGGACCCAGAGGAAGCAGGGTGTTAAGAAGGTCCCATGAAATTAGCATGTCTTTATTGTCCTACAATGGTCATTGAAACATGTCCATTCCCTTTAACAAAAGCCCAATCCAAGAAGTATAAAACAACTACTTTTAAAACAGTTTGAAGGTTGTACAGTAGCCTCTAGAGTGTTGCACAAAGAATTGATGAAGACCAGAAGAGCCAGAACAAACAGCTAAGTTAACTAAACTGCAACAGATTGGCTGAGAGAAACTAGCCCAACTGTTGGGACAGTTTTTCATCGTTTAGGATTTGAACGCTAATCTGAAAAAGAACAGCAAAATGTTTAGAGGCTTATACGTTTGTAGATAAACTTTAATAGGGTTAAAGAGAAGTAAGTTTACTCACCATACCACACAATAAAATGTATTATTCAAGCACACTTTCACTATGAGTTATAATGGTTGTATCAAAAATAAATTCCCTGAAACTGTTTGAAAAGATACACTACAACAAACCAGACCAACACCATTTCATGGGACCAACAAGGAAGTGTCAGATGACTGCAGATAGAGAAAACAGACCAAAGCAGAATCAAGCCAGACCACATGCAACTGGCACTAGAACACATAGCATTATTATAAAAGAAGCATTGGAAATATGTTAAAACAACCAAGCAAAACCCCAATTTAAATAGAGACAATACAGATTATAGGCTATATACAGCAGATCATTTTGTGAAATTAAGCTGTGTTGATTACATTCCTTCACTGAAGGTTGTGCTTGGTTGCTGCCGTTGGTCTAAGGCCAAAATCCTTACCATAAGGAGAGTATTCTGCAGGGCTAGTCCCAGGATAGTAACTGGTGCTGCTGGTCACAGAATACTGCTGGGTAGGAGCCATGTAGGGAGTACGGTACTGCAGGATCAAAAATCAGATTCAAATAAAAACATTTCAGCTATAGCCTAAAAAAGAAATACTGCACACTGCATATCAGATGGTGTTAATGATAGTTATCAAATTTAAACTAGCACTAAAAATTATTTATTATTCATATTTTTAATAAAAAGGGATAAATAATGATACACTGCTGGAGTCTCATACAAAAACAAAATGATCTGTTCCCATTCTGGGGGCTGTAATCAGTCACTGCAACATAAATTAATTCAAAAAGAGAACATGCACCAGAAGCTTCCTGTTACAGTAGTTGCGTTTGGGATTGAGGGTCATATTAAGTTATTGACTTGATCTGATCCAACAAATGAAAAGGTCTTACTTTTAAATGGCCTTACCCTCCACAATAACATCTGAGTTTTCTGATATGTTGACTTTAAACCAAATAAAGGGATATGATCAGTTTTAGCCACTGATCTTTAGTTTTATGATTTTTCATGACTGTTTAAGGTTCCCCTTCTGGTTCTAAATGCTGACAGAATAATACACTACCTCATACGGCTTCTAGCTGGCTGTGACAACAGTAATTGTGGATTTTTAACAGATCACTCTGGGTGCTTTGAAAACTTCAGGCACCCCATTGAAATAGTAGCTTTATGAAACAGAGTGTTTTTAATTCAACAGTTTCTTGTTTTGTTTTTTTTAATTCTGGGACAGGGGAACCTTATGTATAAAAAAAAAAAAAAAGACTTAGATTTTTAGTTCCAAGGAAACTAGACTGAACCTTTAAATAGAAGTTGTTACCCCATTTAACAAAAAAAAACTCAAAAATGTCTTACTTTCAGTCATGTCAAGATAGTTTCAGGTTATTGGTTTTCCCCTATTTTAACAGACTGTCTTAGATTTTCCTGTAACAGCCCCTTATACAAAGATTCAATGACTGGGAGCTGACCAGGTTTTGCTGCTGCAAAGCATCTGCAAACCATAGCACCTCTTTCTCTGTGGCATTCAGCATTTTTGACAATTCACTGCACATTTTTTTGCAATCCTAACTCTAGAAGCAGATCTCAAACCGATATTGCTCAGGGCTACTGACCTTCTCTACACAGCCTTCTATAACCCCTTCACCTCTGACAGTGGAGAGATCCTCCAAAATTATCATCATAGTGATTACTTTAGGATCTCCAGGTTTGTGACACTGTTAATTCATCTGTCCACACATGAGACTCCTCCTACGTTTCCTGGTCTGCTGGGCACTGCCTCAATAGGCCGCATTTTTTCAATATATGTGGGTAGAAGTAAGGCTCTGGAACAGTGTTGATTTGTTCTTTATCTGTCAGAACATCATTACAGAAGTACTGGTGTTTCTCTATGTCCTCTGCAGCAAACTTCCATCCGTCTTGTTCCTTTTCTTAGTAGAGCAAAGGTATTCAAAATATCCACATCTCCTGTGGAAGTTGAATCTTTTTTCTGCACTTAAATAGTTTGTGTTCAATGAAATGGCTGCCTGCAGTTTTAGTTAAAGCCATCTTTAAAACCCAAAAAATGAAGTTACAATCTTTTTTTCTGAAGACCCCAGACTTTGCTTTAATCTCCTCAAACCCCAACAGTCAGAAGCACAATAAACTATAGCCCATTTACACTACGTTTAAAACCGTAAGAGATAATTCGCTTGACTCTCCAAAAACAACAAAATATCTATGATTAAACAAATATTCCTGAATGTCACAGGCGCCACCATGTTTATTTGCTTGTTTCCCTCTAGACAGCAGTAGTACCGTAGGTCGTCACTAGGAGGTGAGGAACCCTACTGGTGTGGTGTGTAAACGGTTGTAGGGATCGGTTTTCGGAGGGTAGTGTAAATGGGACTTATAAGGCTTAAATGGGGCCAGTCCTATTTAATGAGTAATGTTCTGCTTGTGTGCACATGTGATAAGACTCTGCAGGATTTTAGAAACTTTTAGTTGAATAAGTGCAGTGACATTAGTGATTCCTCACATTTTTGTTAAAATGCAAGATGTTACATTTTCAGTTAGTGAATTGATTTGTTTGTTTCCGTTGACCATCTGTTGATAGAATACCTAGATTTCCTTTCAGTGGACTGAACAGCTATCAAAGCACCTCTGAAAACAGAACTTAACTGACAGCTAATAATGGATGCCATAAACCAACCTGTCCAGTTGGGATAAAGTAGTTCTGAGAGCCAGCGAACTGAAGCTGCTGTGGGGGGATCATCATCATCTGGGAGCTGGGCTGGTAGACGTGTGGAGGGGCAACAGGTCGAGGGCCACTGCTCGTCTGCACCCTTGGAGCACTGGTGGCCATAGCAGCTCGACTTGGATAGTAACCCTACAGTAAAGATGTAGGACAATAGAAGACATTAGAAACATTGAAAGGCAGGGGAAAAAAAAAAAAAAACTGTGCATACATTTCTCCAACTATGCTATGTCTAATTCACATTCACACGTTGGGGGAAATGGTGTTGGTGCTGGTTTCCTATAAGCTCAATATGAAGCAATGGACTCACAGCACCAGGTTAACTTTTTGGAAGGGGGGGGGGTCTGCAGTGCCTACAGTGGAGTTTCTTGGGAGTGGGAGAAGTTTGTGCAAGATATGATTGGTTGGATTAAGTTTTCTAGGAGAAGTTTAAGACAGCTCTGGTTGGTTGGATTAACTTGGAAGTTAAATGAAATCACAGAAATTTAAGATTAACAAATACAGATATTTAGACTTTATTTTTGTTGGATTAGGGACTTTTAGACTGCCTGAAGTGGCCAGGCATGCGTACTACAGGGTGGGTATGCCTGCCCGTCAAGCAGTGAAAGGCCTGCTTTGTGCGGTAGTCTGCAGCGGGAAGCCTGTGCAAGCCTCACACAAGCCCGGTAAAGTAAGTGCTGCGTTGTTATGCAAGCTGAGAAACCCAAACTTTATGTATGCATGTTCCTAGGTTGGCTCAGTCATGGGAGTGTGTACACCGCCATGCTTACTAACTGAAGGCATGGAAACAGACCCTGGGTTTTTACTTTGAATGTAGTTGTATAACTGTCAGTCAAACACAGGCTTGGAGACATACCGATGTAACAAAATCATACAAATTGGTTAAAAGTTAGTATGCTGAAACAGCTTTGTGCAAATGTCTCAAACCACTGATAAATCTAACATGAATGCTATTTAGCTGTTTGTAAGCAGAAGCAGCAGGTGAGCTGTTTTTTTTCTTGGGTTTTTCTATAGTCTTAACCAGTGGTTTCCAACCCTAGTTGCTGGGTCCCACTGTCCTGTAGCTTTTGCATAACTTTCTCCTCCTGCAGACCTGAATCAAATCAAGTCCCTCAACCACTCACTGCTTAGACAAACTCATCCCACACCTATAAAACCCACAATTAGTCACTGTAGAGACCTATGAGACTTGGCTAACATATGCAGTCAAGCTGAAGTTTCCGATATACTCATCTACAGTGTAAATTCATTCTTGTTTCCCTGACACTCTGAGGCTACGAGAGGTCTGACGTAGAGAAAAGCCGTTACCTGCAAAGCTCTGTATCCACCCTTCAGCCGCACAACACATGAGCAGAGAGCAAGAGAAGGTGTGAGATTAAGGGGACAATGAGGACACGAGACAATGAGGAAGGTTGATATAGCAGAAATGTACAAGCAAGGGTTGTGACAGGAAGCAGCTTATACTAAAGCCTTAACCAGTTAAGTTTAAATAATTAGATGCACATGCAACCCTGGAACGACATCCCGGCCAAGTCCAAGATAAGGGTGTAATAATGTCAAGGACTGCAGGCCCATGCTGAAACTGGTGGGAAAAATATGAAAGCAACAAAGGATTCATCTTAAAGGGGCATAGTCGCGCAGGGAAGCTGATAGGTGTACAAGTAAATATCCTCATTATTACTGGTACTGGTGATAGGAATTCTTAGCTACAGCAGTGAATGTAAAAAAAAAACAAGACAAATAGATTGATTGAAAAAAAACAGTTGATCTGGAGTCAAGTGATCTCCACAGCATGCATTTTTTCTACCCAGCCACTGAACCAAGTGAGTTAATTTGGAGGTAATTTCTACACTAAACCCAACCATTACAGGTATATACCCAACCCTAACCTCAATTCACACCTTATTCCGAGACCCAAACCCTACACCTAAAAACAGTAAAAATCTCCCCCAAAGGGACCTGGCAGAGGTCCCCACGATGTAGCGTTTTAACAAAAGAATGGTCCAAAAACCATGTAAGACAAGGCCGCAATACAAGCATACATACAAACATACACACCTTTTCATCAGGGTCTCATCACATTCTCTTATCGGTTTAAACAATACCAGTATCTACATCAAACATGTACTAAGTGCCCTACAGAAGGCTTAAGACTGGCAAGTACAGAAATACACTGCGAATATAAAATGACTAAATTCACATATACTGTATATATACACACTACACAAGGAGTTTTGAGTAAAGCTAATTTACATAGTGAACAAAATGAACGTGGTTTTACCATAAGCAACACTGATGTGTCAACCAATAAACTGATATTCAAGTAGAACCCGAAACATTCCCTTCTAACTTCATGAAGTAAGCAACACTTTAAGCTGTTGGTTAATTTGGAAGTTTGTACAAATAAGGGGACCTAATAGTTTCTGTTCAGTTACCATTCGATTTATCTGCTAATTCATTATTTTTAGCAAAGGGTTCCTTCAAAAAAAATTTTGACAGAATTAATCCAGATGAAACTAAACCTTTTTACAGGAGGAATTCTGGATAGAGCAGGTTGACAGAGAAAAATGTTTTTTTTTTTTGTTTTTTTTTTATCGTATAATAAATGGGTTTCTCTGTTAGGTAAGGGAATGTTTTAGTCTATAATCCAGCTAACGATTAATATATTACTAAAAACTGTTATTTCCATATTTGATTTTTTCAGCCCTAATATTGATAGAATAAAAAAATACTGGTTAAAGAATTTCACTTTTCAATAACCTAATCTTCAGAAGGCCTTTTTAAATCTGTGTGCTAGTTTGAAGAGCATTTTATGGACAAAGGATGTTGGGAAAAAAAAAAAATACTCATGTGAAGGGTGGATAAAAAAATAAATAACTTCTTTTTAGAATAATATTTTCAGACTCTAGTTTTAGAAAGTTTGGTGTAAAAAAAAAAATTGGAATGAAATGTGGACCTATGGAAAGAAAAGGACAAAGTAAAATGTATGTCTTCTCTCTGAAAATGTGGTTCTAAGAACATGCATTGCACTAGTGATATAAGAGGGATACAGGAAGAAGAAAGTGAGAGTTAGTACCTGTTGGTGTAAAGTACGAGGCCCTGTGGCAAACTGGGAGGACAGCAGAGAAGAGTAAAGAGTCACACCAGACATTCAAGGCTTTTACACAGACACCAAGCCAAAGCATTGCAGCAGAAGAAGCCATGTCAGAAATTAAAGTGAAAGAACAGAAGAGACTTCGTACTCTGCACTAAAATAATACTAAAACCTTAACATTAAAAATAAGGTTAGGCGATTTGTAAAAATGTACTAACCGATATCAATCAGTCTAACAAATGGCGATGAATGATACATTTGTGCAGGTGACTTTGCAGGCAAAGACAAGAACCCCCTCAGAGGGCATCTTCGCATCTTCTGCACCGTTGGTAATATTAACCACCTGCACATGCTGCTAAAACCCAATGAGGTAAACATGCTTTTTTTCCCCCCTTGTCAAAGATGCATACATTCGTTCAGTGGGAATAGTTTCCTCTTTTACAGTTTTTATGATTATGTCATGAGACAAAGTTTTTTGATTGTTATTCATTTGTTAATTTGAATGCACAAATCTAACAGCTTCACTGGAGGAATTTTCCTTTTATTTCTTATTTCATTTTGTATTTGCCATGTTAAAATGAAGATGGAGCGCCCTGTAAAGAGACTAAAATTAATAAGTAAATAAAAGATATCTTTCTGTGTTCTGGTTTGGCTGCTGCACGGTGGCACTTTGGGGAAAACAGAAAAGGGCTGCAGCTGGGAAAAAAAAAAAAAAACCTTAAATAGAGGGGTGGACTCAGATTTTGGCTTTCAAAAACTTACAATGCAGGAAATGAGTCAATCCCGTCCTGCTATCATTGCAACCCCAACACCTCGAAAGGGGAGCAGAGGACCTTGCTTATTCAGCCAGGCCACCAATTCCCCTTTAACGGCAGCCCTTTCAGAGACTTAGACAGGTGTGGATTGTGTGCATTGCAGGCTAAACAAAGAAGCCAAACGACCCCCATTCCAAAGGGTGGACCCGTTTGTTTCAATTTGCATGTTTTCCAAACAAAAAACACGGTTTAGATGGGCTACTGTATAAAGCCTCGAACTCAACGCTATTCCTGACATTTTTAATTGAAAAAGCTTCCTGAATGGGAAACGTCTTCAAACTTGGAAACAAAGTCCAGTGAATTGTTCTTTTAACTTTTTTTTGGAATGCTGCTGGAAGGAGTTTGTGTGTACCATTAAAAACAGCATTAGGTTTTTGTCACGGGGTTACTCTTAACCCATAGGTCCAAAAAAATAAAAAAATAAAAAATATATATATATAAAAACTGTTGTTGAAGGGTTGAGTCTATCGTCGATCAAGTCTATTGTGAGGGTCAATCACCAAACCTTAATTCAAAACATACCTGTCTCGGCTGCTGTGCAGAGTTCATTTGTGGAGTGGGTGCAAAAACAAGCGATGGTGGTTGTCCGGGGCCGTAGGCAGCCTTAAGAGGACAGGGGGGAAAATTTTTTAAAAATGTTAAACAGCTCCAAACTACCCAATCAATAGGTAGTTCCAAGAAAGTATCCCTCACCTGTGTTAGTCCAGGGGATGGGGAGGGATTTGGGACAGAGGTGGGTCCCGATATAGGTTGCGGTGGTTTGTTCATTTCACGTTCTTTTACAGGTCTGCATCAGGGTGGCTGTGTGCTGCCAGCCTTTCAGAGAAACTAAAACGAGAGAAAAAAAAAAAGACAAGTCTACATCTATATCTATATCTATTAAATATAAGACCTCCATCAATCAATAACACTTTGGTGCAACATATGAAGCCTAAATATATTTCCAGCAATGCTAGGAAGAAACACCACTGTATGAACACATCTTTAGTGTGGCACCTCCATTAAGCAGTGAGGGTGTGGTCTGTGAGTTTTGCCAAAGATTACAAACATCCCCACCTCCCTCTCTTACATATCGCAAGCATAAACAAAAGTTCAAATGAAATAAGTAAAAAAAATACATTCATCCCTTGTCCAATCAAAAAACTTTACAAACAAACCCCAAAACAAAACAGGCCACAGCAGAAAATAGGGGGGGTGGGGTGTAATATCTGAAGAAGACGGATTTACCCCATTATCTTAAACTGATCGGAAATAACTCCGGCAATTCTAATTTTCAGTAAGTCTAAGAAAATGGATACCTCAGGTCAAAGTGCATTCACTGTGAAAACAGTGTTGTGCTAGGTCCATGTGAGCAGATAAATTATACCAGAACATTGTTACTAAGGAGATACGGCATTTAGTTTGTAGTCAAACATAACGGAAAGTTTGATATATTTTTTTTTAAATAGTCGAACCGCTTCGCGTAGGAATTATGGTGAAAATTTGATGATCCAAACAGAATTGACAATCTGACACACGAACCACCATTAGCTGCTAGCTACTAGAGCCATGCTTTAGGGCTTTAAGCTACCATATGGTTGCGAAGCTTACAGTGATGGATAACCGGTCCGCAAACCGTGATTAAAGATGACAAGCGCTCAAATAAAATATTATTTATTAGCAAATATTCGGGCTAACGTTGTTTTTACCGAACCTCTAGCGTGGCTGCCGCTACTAAATGGTAGCCACCAGGCTGCGTGCTAACATTACGTGTCCCCCCCTCTACCACAGACATTTTCGACAGTTACGCTACGTGGCTGTCCGCATTTAACCTCGGAGTACACGGTGTTCAATTTTCTATCTACAAGTAACAACCCAAGTGTTTTCCCAGAAAAAGCTAGAATAGTAAACGCTGTGTTTCTTGGCGAAAAATGACTGACACGTTCTAGTAACAGTCGAGCTATTGTTGGTTAACCTTAGCTAGCAGTTTAGCTCCGACGGTGATGGGAGTAAATTAAAAACAGGCCTAACAGGCTTCACGACAGAACAAACCCATCCAACCTACCGTTTCACCGAAGCATTTACAGAGACATATTCTTCAAACAGCTTTACAATAAACACGCTGTCTAGGCACTGTTCAAATTTGTTTTAAGTCAAAATGAGGTAAGAAGCAGCCGATGGTAACAAGAGACCGGTGAAGATTAGCCACCAACTGTCATTTCAGCTAACGTCAGAATAACTTTGGATAAACGCCTCCAACGGCTTTCGAGTATAAGCATCCAACTTATAAATGTAAAACAGTTATATATTAAACGGATTAAACGAACTTTTGTTCAAAAAACCTCCACTCGACTGCTTACTATCCAAGCGTGCGAAGTGACAGCCGGCGGGGCCTGTTCAACCTGCATGCCTTTGACAAAATTCATGCCTAGCTTAAGCGCACATAAAGCTAGCATCAACATGGCTAACCGACTTAATTCTTACCAGATACCAACAGTGACAGTGGTGTATATTAGGAGCGGTGGGTGTTCAGTCTTCTGTTAATGAGTTTTGTCTGTTTGTCCTTGTTCCAACAGACGAGTGAAGCCCTTGTTGGCTGACTTTAGCAAACTAGTTGGCTAACCGGCAGATGGGATGAGTGCTACTGATGTCACCTCAGTTTAAATCCCAGGATGTTCAAAAGTGAAGGTGGTAGAAAAATATAATAATATCGTTCTTCGGGAGTGCTATTGGTAATTTCGTTGACTCCCCAATGAGCCTCTGGACTGGAGGTCCATGATCAAGGCGTCGATGGTGACGGATTGCCGGTTAGATAGAACTCTCGCTATGCAGGGCTCAGTGTGAGGCCATAGTGCGATGTTCTTGCTCTACGGAGCCGGTGCGCCTCCAGTCGCATGGGTTAGTTCCGGGGAAATTATCATTTGATGCCGGTTCCTTGGTCATGTGATAGTGGAATATGAATCATCTGAGGAAACGTTCAAGAGCCATCGAGACTATTTATATAACCCATCAGACATTTATTAAAAATGTATATATTATATACAGTGCCTGAAGCAATCTCATAATTTAATAAATATAAAATCTCATCAAATATAAAAGCTTCACTTTGTTTTGTTTTAGTTAATGTTACACAGGATTTGGTACCTAGGTGTAAATAAATATCTAAAACTTTCATGAAAACGTTTTTTTTTTTTCCTGTTGAAAATTGGATAATAATGTTGCTACTCATTTTTTTATGTTGTTAATATGCATCTTGTTTTTTGAACCTTTATAGTGCAATCAGTGAAATAAGCCAAATTTCAAGCCAATAGTGTTATTGGAATCCAGGATAAGACCTTATTACCTCTGTAACATAAATAAAATGTGGATATTTTGATGGCAAGAATGAATAATAAGAAGAAACTCCAACCTGCCGAATATATTACGGAAAATAACAAAAGTGCTTCTATAAGAAATTCATGAAAAACACTCTGAAAGTAAAAGAAACACATTTTTTTTGGTACAATATAACCTTAGAGGCATTAATGCTGATACTGGCAGTTATTTTTTTTTTTAGTTTATAAACATAAATATAATTTTTAACTAGGCTTATTAACTTTTAACTTTTCAATTAGCTTTTTACCTTTTTTTTCTTGACTTCACTTCTTTTTTTGTACTTAATTTCCAGTAGGTAATATATCATTCAAGGGCTGATGTACAGCCATGTAGCAGTATCTTTGCTGAATGGCTGGATATAGATCTTGTGCTTCTAGACCTATGCAAGTGATCAAAAATAGTCATTTAAAAATAGTGGTTAAAGAGTAACCACACTAATATACGACATGCAACGGCTTTATAGACATGCAAATATGGTAAAGAAAAAAATCAAAACATAATTTATTTGCTGTAAACTCTCACCTTTACAGAAAATATTTGGATCACCCCAAAAACAAAGCAAACGCATTGCTTTTTAAAAACTTACATATATGATTTATGTAGAAAATTAACTATACTTGTCCTAATAATGACTCCTAGGGGACACCGCAGCAATGTCAAAGTTGCCACATTTTCAAAAATAGTTGGATACTATTTAAATTAGGTTCAATTCAATTCAGAAATACTTCATTAATCCCCAAGGGGAATTCAATGTTGCAGTAACTCAAACACCTCTTCATCCACTTCAGAAACCCCCATCAAAAAAAAAAAAAAAAAAAGTTGTATGTTTCTTTTTATCCATGGATGTGGTGAAATCTTCTACTAATTCTATAATTTATTGTGTCCTCATGTGATTAGCCTTACTTTGTAAAACAAAAAAGTGATCCTTTTGCATTTAAACAGTATAAATTTGAGTGGCTATTGTAATGTTGAGGTGCTTGTTCACAAGTTTTTTTGTTTGTTTTTTTAGCTCTGCAATGTTTGTCTCAAAACCGTATAGAATTTATCCAAGTGGTTCCAATTTGTTCAAATGGTACATGCAGGTATATGTCTACATCACTCAAACAGGCATCCCAGTGTTTTGGCATAAATACAGCTTACTCAAACACGCCTCCATTGCAGTCATCATGACCTTCTCCGTGCCTTGAAGCAAGCGGTTCGAACCACTAAGGCTCCGGCCCATGGGGCTCTACAAAACCTCTCTCAACCTCTGCTGATAAAAGGAATAAAAAACTGCTCCTTCTCAAAATATCCATATCTATTACATAACTACCAGCGCCCCTCTGCTTCAATATGGCTCCATCCTGACCACACCCCTGATAAACCCCCACTGCTGGTCTCTTGTCACTGACCACTTTTGTGGCATTGCCTCACATTTTTTTGGAGCTGAGTTTTGATTTTAAATCGGGGTGAGTTATTATTTTGTCATTCGGGCTTCTTTCAACTTAACTAAGGGACAGAGCCCAAGTCTTAAAAAATAAACCCCTCACCATAACATAAGGACAAAACTCTGCAAATTTAAATGGCCTTCTACTTACTTGTTATAATGCATTTACAGTTAGGTTTGATGACATTCATATGACTAATAATTGATTCAACGAAAGGAGAAGAACAGGGGAGTATAGAAAGCATAGACCTGGCCTGGGCTGATGAGAAAATATAAAAAAGTGAATAGTAAAGTCTGTTGGAGGTATTTATTTATAGTTGTAAGTACTAAAATAATAATTTAAAACAAAAACAGTATATTTATAAGTATATGGGTGTATCTCCACTTCAGCATGGTCTGGAAGAATAAGTACAATGTTCAGATGAAATTAGAAATATATTTGAATATTTCTATATACCCCACACATTCTGGTTAAAAGCTATTTAGATGGTAACCTTCAGGTCCAGGGTATATAGTGCTAATAGTAAAAACAAACTGGCACAAAGAGTTTCTTTGCTCAGACTGTATTTGTGATAAACACACTAAACACCTCACAACTAGGGTAGCTACTCTGCTGGAAATAAGTAAGCATTTTGCAATAAAATAAAAATGCCAGGATGAACACAAACACAAACATGACATACAGCTCATTGTTTTTATTGTATCTCGTGCTTTTATGTGTTTTTTTTAATGTAAGGCTTAAACAATTAACAGTATTAATTGTGATTAATCAATTATTGACATAATCGTCAACTAATTTAGTAATTAATTAATCATTAACTGGAGTATAGAGACTAATACAGGCCTTTAGCTGACAGAGCAACCCACTTAGAGCAGTAATTATACCAAAATTGAAAAAAAAAATTGTAAACATTTTCAAGTGGA